CAGCCCAGCTCCAGGTTGAGCTGTTGTTCAGCATCTTAGCTGTAGAGGGCAGTGTCACTGGCCCTCATATGTGGGATCTGAACCAGAGCCCTCTGGCATCTCAAGCCAGCTCTCAACCAATGCGCCACTCAGCCAGCCCACTAGTGCAATCATTTTGATGCACAATTTTAAAACATTTCATACATATACAAAAGTAGAGAAAATCGCCTAATGAACCACCATATAGTCATTACTCAACTTTAACAGTTAACCAAATTATGGTCAATCTCATTTCCTCTGGTCTTGTACTTACGCCTCCCTCTCCTCCACATGGTTTTGAATACCAGACATCTTATGATTTCACCAGGAAACACTTCAGAATATATCTTTAAAAGACAAGCATTCCCTTTTTAAAACATATCCCCCATACCATCACCCCCCCAAAAAAAACCCCAACAATTTCCTAATATCAAATATAGAATGAGCATTTACATTTTCCTTATTGGGCTGGCTATAAATAGCATTTTTAAAAAAGTTTGTCTGAATTGTGATTCAGATCATACATTGCAAATGGTTAATATATTTCTTATGTCTTTTTAAATCTATGGTTTCAACCTCTTCCTCTCTTTTTCACTTGCAATTTCATTTCCTTTCCATTTTTTCCCCTTTCGTTCTCTTTGTTTTTTAAAGAAACTAGGTGGTTTGTCCTGCAGCGTTTTCCCCGTTCTGGATAATGCTGGTGCTTTCCCATGGAGTTGTTTTAACATCCTCTACCCTCCTGTATTCTCTGTATATTGGTAGTTAGATCTAAAAGGTCTAATCAGGTCAGGTTTGATTTTTATTTTTTTACAAGGCTACTGATGTGATATCGTGTACTTCCATGAGGAGAGTCACAATGCCTGCATGTCTCTCATTTTGTGATGTTTGCAGCCACTGATGATCATTGCATTGATTGGAGTTTGTAAATGGTAATACCATTTCAGCATTTATTAGCTGGAATACCTATGAAGAGGAACATCCCTTCATTGGCTAATTGATTACATGAGATTCATATAAGAAATACATGATAGATGTGTGATTCTTTGCCTTTTGCAGTTTTCAAAACAATTAATTGGTTCCCTAGTATCTCCAAAGGTTATTGATCAAGGTTTATTATTATTAGCATTATGAACACTTATTTTTATCTATTGTTATGAACCCATGGACTTAAACATATTTGTTCTCTTTTAATCCACTGTAGTCATTATTCTAATTGAATCTCACACTTTCCCATCTTTGGCCAGTGGGTTCTATTCAAGTCGGCACCTGAATCCTTTTGACCACATGACTAGCTTCCTTGCTTTCTGGTATGACAAGATGTAGGCTTATCACAATTTTTTTAAAAAGATTTTTTATTGGGGAGTTGGGGGAGGGGAACAGCGCTGGGGAATTGGGGGAAGGGGAACAGACAAGTTGCTGTC